GTATATACAACATACGTATATATGCATTTGTCTTCGTAAATATGCGTGGATGTATATAGCGTCGCTTTAAACGCTGTACTTATACACTTCCTTTCACAAGAAATTTTCGCCACTATCCAACTATAGTAGTGGAAAATATTAGAAATTTTGCCCGCTCATCAAAGGCATAGTTACATAGGCATAACCCGCTCATCAAAGGCAACGGAAGCTACCTTCATTTTACGCTCGACGCTTACGGCTTTCTATAGCAGCAGGCCTGCAAGTGCCTGTGAATAAATACATTTATCTTTTTACTCACCGTCACCCCCACTACCACATAACCCAACAGTACAAAAATGGTATAAAAGCTGTTTATTCTACACACGTACGCAACGCACAAAAAGGTCACAATGAAAATTGATCGATAAAAACGTTTCGGGCCATGTTTTATGAGCTTTTAACAAGGATAAGATGTAGGCAACGCTTGGAGCTCGTTCCCATGGTCTGCAGCTATCACACATCGGGGCACACATGCTTCTCATCCATTCCTTAGACCGCGCAGAAACTGCAGTAACGATGAGAGGACAGATTTAAATACTTCGTCGGCATATTAATACGATAAACATGAAAACAGTCACAGGTTGCTTCCAGTACCAAAAATTAAAATACGGCGCAGAGTCCGTTGTCATGCAAAAGAAACCCTCATTAATAAACGTCTGTTTGAACCCTTTCGGCAGTACCGGATAACTTAAGCCGACTGGATTAGCAATAAAAAGAATGAACTCTGATGCATCAGGAAATGAGTGGGTAGATGGTCTTTTTCCTGGTGTTTCAGGCAATCAAACAGAAGCCAAAACTGCTAATCCATGAGTAAAGTTTTGAGAGACAATGAAACACTTTTATCCCTCCTGGTAACATCTTACCGCATACACTTCAGCAGTGATGGTTGCACTGTTATGCTCTATTGACCAGAAAATACTTCCATCTGATGTGTATCCTCTGACATGACACTTATTCTTCTGAGCGTGATCAAATGGAACAAGCTGCTGTGCATTACCTCACTGTCTTGAGTGACGGAATCAAAAATCTTGAAATTTCAGCCAGAAGATGATTCGAGTATGAATAACTCCTTCAATACTAGATTTCACACCGCACTACGTCGCCCTCTCACTCCCACTGCTTAGGAGGCATTTAAGCAGGCTACGTCCATAAAGTATTTGAAGCAGCTGTAGTGCTATATACATCTCTTGATTATCAAGAGTCGTTATTTAACATACTAAAGCGTCTGAACAGCTTTTGATGTTCATACAGTACCGCATGAGTACCAGCTTCAGACGCTTCGTTCGTGATGAGCGCAAGTTGGTTCTGGAAGACAGACTACGGCGAGATGCATCTGGCACTGCAGGTGCTCAAATATCATTAAGAAGCGAACTGCCTGAATACACCTTCTAGGCATTTAGGAGCAGGGGACAATGCAGTACGCGCTGAAATCTGGTCTTGGAATCAAGCATTATTTAATTTTCCTTTGAACGACGAACAAAATCATCTAATTTAGTTCAAATATAATGGAGCTGCGGTATGCTTAAATGCCTCATAGGCAACTAGGATCAGCGGGAGTGCTATACGCCGTGAGAGTCATTAGTTATTTAACGCCATATGCGATAGAAATCGAACGCAGTGCTCACTTGGCTGCTATCGAATAGGAGAAGCTGAAGGGCAACGTGAACGGCAGTGCAAAATAGCGTATTGCCGTGACAGGCCTGAGTTTCACCAAATAAGTTAACAACGTTTTCTCAAGCGCTTCCTCGTCGGCGAACGCTGAAAGCAAATATCGTGAGTCTTGGCTAGCCTTCAAGTAAGGAATACCGTACTTTCCTTGATAATGTTGGGCAGACCCTTAGACGGGGCATCGCTGGCCGTCTCGCGGCACCACTCGCAGTGCTCTTCCCAGTTCACGTGACTGTTGCGGTGCACTGTGGATATGCTCTTGGGAACGATCCTATGCGTGGACAACTTCGTTGAACTGCCGTCGTCAGAAAAGACAAACACAGATTCCTCTGACGACAACATGACGGTCGAACGAATCGTAATGCACCGGGCACAAGATATCAGGTCTGAAACACATGCCAATACAAAATGTGCTAGAAACGGGGGAACAAGCGTCACGTGGTTAGAGACGACAAACGAAAACTTGGCCTCTGCTTTTGACTTTTGACAGCTACGATATTCGTGCGCTGTCTACAAAACCAATAAGAAGTTTGTTCCCCCGGAGGCGTTGCCATATGTTTTCGTCAGTTATCAACAATCTTAAACCTGCATGGTGTCACTGTACGTACTGTGTTTCGACAGGTATCGTAGACCGTCTTCGAATCCTTGCCTACACATGTCGTTCATGACGTCAAGACTAGGCGGGAACAGCGAAACGCTGAGACGAAAAAAGTTCTGACACGTAAATCGGATGCTAGTGTTCTTCATGCAGAATAAAAATGGTGACATCGAGTCCAAGTCCTGAGGACAGATATCGGATTCGCCTGAGAATGGGCTAACAGTGATCGTAT